TAAGGCGACTTTGCGCGTCGCTACGGCGAGAACAGCATGTTGCAAAAGAGCCGCCCTCCATGCTTGAGACTGCTGCAAGCTTTTACGACGCTTGCGCGCGGCGCTCAGGCGAGGAGCGCAATTTGAAAACGACCCGCCCTCCATCCCTCAAGCTGCCATACAATTTGAAAACGGATGGGCGCGGCGTTGAGGCGAAAACCTCCTTTTGAAACAGATCCGCCCTCCATGCTTGAAGCTGCTGCAGAATTTTAGTACGAAAGTGCTCGGCGCTTAGGCGAGAGCCACATTTTGAACATGGGCCGCCCTCCATCCTTGGAAATACTGTAGATCTCAAGCTTCTGGATGATAAATGGTGAAGTCTCAGGCGGTGCGCCCGGCCCGCCCTACCAACACGCCTGGGGGTGCGACAGGGAGGAGTATGTGTAAAAGAAATGGTTGGAGGAGGGGAGGACGAGGAGGAGGCGGTGGAGGAGGAGGCGGAGGAGGAGGAGGAGAAAGGTGAGCAGCAGGAGGACGAGGAGAGATAATGGTGGTGGTGAGGAAGAGGGAGGATCAGGAGAGATAGTTGGGGTGGGAGGGGGCGGAGGACGAGGACGAGTAGGAGGAGCAGGAGGACAAGGACGAGGAGGAGGAGGAGGAGGAGGCGAAGGATTTGCCGCTTGGTCTGCACTGGGACGGTAAGAGTATGTGTGTAGTGATCCCGCACGATATGTGCTTCTTTTTCCAGATCGCTGGTGTCAGGTGTGACGGCACCGAGCCTACGTCGGGGTAAACCAAGGCGAAGGACGAGGAGGATGCGGAGGACGAGGAGCAGAAGGAGGAAAGAGGGGATGGAGGAGGGAGAGGCGGGTGAGTGGTGGAGGGAACCTGGCAGGGGCGAGGTGGAAATGAGAGGGAGGGAGTGTGTTTTTGTGGTTCTCAAACACCCTGGCATCGCTCGGACGTGTGCATGTTTCCCCGGCGAGAAACATCGAGGACCATCCTGGACCCTCGAGCCAACAAAAAGAAGACACGCACGAGACCGAAAACACACACACACACACACACGGGAAAGGGACGTCCGAGCGATGGCAAGGCACACGTCTTTGGCCAAAGTTTATGCCAGCTGTGCGCGGGCCCGCTGGGAGGCGGCCCGCCCGCGGCCACTGCCAGAGGTCAGAGCCCCGAATCATCATGGGTAACTCGGGTCAGGGTTAACTCGGGTTCGTTTTTCGGGAATCCGAACCCGCGTTACCCCGGACCCGAGTTACCCCGGATAACTCGGGCGTCCAGAGCCCCGAATCATCAGGGCTAACTCGGGTCAGGGCTAACTCGGGTTCGATTTTCGGGAATCCAAACCCGCGTTACCCCGGACCCGAGTTACCCCGGATAACTCGGGCGCCCAAAGAGGGGGCGCCCTCCCGTACCAGTCGCGCAGCCGTGTGGCGTCCCGTCTGCATTGGCCTTCGCTTGGGCAGCGGAGAGAGCCGGCTCGCGGCCCCTTTGGTGCGCGGGCCATCCCGCGTTCCTCCTCGTCGCGGTGTGTCTGATGTCCGCTTCCCCTCCTCCTCCTCCTCCTCCTCCTCCTCCTCCTCGCCTCCTCGCATCCTCCATCCTTCCCCCTTCATCCTCCTCCTCCTCTCCATCCTCCATCTCCTCCTCCTCCTCCTGTCCCTCCTCCTCCTCCCGTCCCTCCTCGTCCTCTTCCTTCTCCTTCTCTCATCATCCCCCTGCACCCTCCTCCTCCGCCTCTTCATCCTTCTCCTCCTCCTCCTCCTCCTCCTCCTCCTCCTCCTTGGCAAGGCCTGCGCCAGCGTGCAGGGTTTCGCAGTTCCCGCGTTTCTGTCGCCTGGCAGCCGCCCCTGGCCTCGTTTCTTTGTTTTGCCTCAGCTCCGCGCCCTCGAGGATTGCCGACCTGCTTCGTGAGCTGCTGGGTTTGGTCCACGTGCGTGTTTGACCCTGCAGGGCGGGGCAGTGCTTCGTGGCAGGTCAAGCCCCGAGTGTGGAATTCGGGCGCTGCGATCTCATGCGCCATCCCACTGTCCACTGTCCTCCTCTTCCTCCTCCCTCCTCCTCCTTCTCCTCCTCCTCCTTCTCCTCCTCGTCCTCCTCCTCCTCCTCCTGCTCCTCCTCTCTCATCTTCCTCCTGTTCGTGCGGATCTTCCTGTACGTGCGGATCGTGGGGCGGATCCTCCTGTACGCGCGGGCCTTCTTGGACGCACGGATCGTGATGCTGCCTTGCTTGTTCGTGCGGATGTTATTGAGCGTGGGGGTGCCGCTCTTTGCGGGCCTGCGGAGCTGCCCGCACGTGCGGGTCTTCGTGTACGTTCGGATCCTCTTGGGAATGCGGTTCTTCAAGATCTTCTTGTACGTGGTACTGCCCCCTCCTGGCCTTGACGTGGGGCCCCTCCTTCTGCCCCCTCCTCTGCTAATTAAAGCTGTGCGCGGCCCGCTTAGCTTCGACCAGGAGAGGTGCGCTCTCGACCCGCGGATCAAAAAATACGTGGTGCTGATCTTCGCGTGCGTGCTGATCGTGAGGGTCAGATCGGTGCCGCTGCTGCCGACAAGGCTGCTTCCAAGGAGGAGGTGCCGGAGGAGATGAGCTGCTCTACCGTGCACGGGGACGTGCAGATCGACGGCTGGCCGCAGGCGCTGGCCGAGAGACCCGCGCGCGGGGGCCCGACATGGAGCATGCTGGGGCGGGTGTGAAACTGCATGCGCATGAGCAGATGGTTGGCCAACAGAGCGCGGAGTGCGCAAAAGCCACGCTGCGCTTCGCCATCGCGACCAGCAAGAAGGTGGCGGTGCTGAAGGACTGCACGTGGCCGCGGAGGTGGTTTCGCACCTCCGCGCTGGCACCGCTTTCTCGGCGGGTGGCCGAGATCGACGACGCGAGCGAGGCCGAAGGGCGGCAGCGGGTTGCAGTGGCATTACCTCCGAGGACGAGGTCGTTCTTACTCCTAGTTCGAACTGTTCCGCCATCGTCCTGCGGCCTCGGCGCGTGGCCCTGAACGTTCACGCCCCCATGCGCTGCCGCTCCCATGCTCGCATCCTCCACCTGCCCTCCAGACCCAACGGGTGGTGACCAAGGTGGGGTGGAGGGCGCCGACGGGATGGTGCAGCTGCCGTGCGGCCCGCCTTCCCGTGCTACCTCTGGGTGTCGTGCCTCGGCTTGAGCGCTGACGAAGACACTCCGCCTCTCCTGCTGTCCATTCTCGTCCGCCCACGTCGCCCTTGCCGCCCCCTGTCCTGTCGGGCAGCCCGGCACGGGTGCATGACGCGTTCGCCCGCCGTCGCCGTGCGCGCAGCGATTTGAGCGAGTTGCCCAAGGAGGAAGAGGCACGGAAGAGGGGGAAGGCGATGAATGGGCGGGGGGGGGGAGGGAGGGGGGGAGGGAGCATCATTGCGCCCAGTGCAAGCCCGGCCGACGAGCCACATCCCTCCTGTGCTCGGCGCCTGCCAGCGCCGGCGACGCAGCGCCCCCGAGGAGGCTCGCGCGCCCGTAGGCTGCCCGCGCCGGCGCAGCGCAGCCAGCTTTGCCTCCCCGCGCCGCCGGCGCTGCCGTGGCTGCTGCAGCCCCAGCGCGCGGCGAAGGCGAAGGAGGTGGAGGCGGCGGGAGTGGGGACGGAGGAGGCGGCGCCGTTGGCGGCGGCGGCGGGCCGCAGTCTATCCGAGAGCTCTTGGAGCGCGTTGTCGAGGAGCCCACGCTGCCGACCTTCCTGGGCCCGCCGCCTGACGCCCTTGCGAGGGCGATGGAGGTGTGGCGGCTGATCTTGGCGGGGCTCCACAGGCTCCACATGCGCAGCGATGCGCCCCCCGCTGAGCGTCGGGGGGCCACGCTGTGGGCCGACGCTCTCCCTGGAATCCTTTTCTGCCGCCTTCCACGCCGAGAGTCTCAGGGGGGGCAGCGCGGCCACGCCCCGCTCAAGACGGCGCTCGGCCACCGGCTGAAGCGAGCCGAGGTAGCAGAGGAGAGCCTTCTGCGCGAGCTCTTTCAGGAGGGGAAAAACACACACAGTCACAATTAATCGTCGACCCCCAGGAAAATATGTGAAAATATGGGAAGTGGGGGGGAGACAAAAAACAACAGAACATATAGAACATATGGTGTGTATGTATTTATTTGCGCGCCCCGGGGCCCTTTCACTCTTGGGGGGGTACCTAGCAGAAAGGGCCGACCGCGTTCCACCGAGAGTTTTCCGGAGGACGGGCTGGCATTTTGCCTCTGGAGCTTCCTTAGGCAGGCAGAGGTGTTAGGGGCAACGTGCGTCCTGGACCCTAGCTGTGCTCTCCAGGCCATCTATAAGGTCTGCCCGGGAAGCTGAGTTTAGAAGTTCCGCCCCGTGTGCGGCGCCCCCATTTTGTTCAAACCCTGGCGGGGGGTGACAAATGACGTAAACGCATGGAAGTCGCAAGTGAATTTGCGCATGCGCGTTACCCCTGCCAGGGATATTCCTCTCGCTTCGCGGGGTGCACGTCGAGAGTACGTGCAGCGAAGTCGTTTTGGGGGTTCGGGAGTTTCGCGGGGGCGTCTCGGGCCGTCTTGGGGGGCTCTTTCGTCGCTTGGCACCGCGGCGGCCACGCTCGACGGCCGGGGCCGCGCAGCCAGGGCGGTCCAAGGAGGCTGCGTCGCCCGAGCTCGCCGCGAGGCCACGGGGCAGCGCTGGGCGCCGCGTGGCGACGCCACCAGGCAGGAGATGCTACAGTGCCTTTTCTAATATTTGCTCCGCGTGCGGATGATGCATTACAAATACAGGGATCTAGTATCAATAACAAAGATGAGTTCGCGCATACATTTACTCATAAAGTAGTCGTGTATTAAAACATTTTATTAGACATCATATGTATTAAAAATTACCCTGCACGCCTGGCGGCCGCCCCCGCCCCCGCTGGCGATCGCGCAGCGCTGGGGGGGCAGGCGCAGGCCCTGTCCCAGGATACTGCGCGAGCGAAGGCTCCACGGAAGGCCAGCATTCGGAGACGCATCTTCGGCCCTGCGTTCCGCCGCGGCGCTGCGCCAGGGCCATCTGCGACGCGGGGCGCCTACCTCGCGGCGCTCCCGCGATCCCGGGCGGGGCGGGCGCCCTCCGCAGGTTCGCGTTGCTGGAGGTCCAGGGCGCGTGGGGCGAGGAAGATCACCGCCTCTGGCACGCGGGCATCCTGAAGCCAGCTGACTGCGGAGAACGTGCGCCGGAGGGCGACGCCCTCGCCCCAACCCGCAAGCTCCGCCCCCTCGCCCAGACGGAGGTCCTCATCAAGCTCGTCGAGACAGCACTCATCGACGAGGCGATCGAGGAGCTCCGCTCCTCATTCGAACCGCGGCAGCTGGGAGTCGTCACCCCAGACGGCCCCGTCCGCACTGTCAAACTCATGAGGGCGCGGCTCGAGGACATCTCCCGGGCCGAGGGGGAGGCGCCCACCCTCTTCCCGGACGAGTCACAGACCATCGGGGTGGAAGCGGATGCGTTCGTTGAGCTCGATGTTGAGAACGTGCGCGGCAGATTCTACCGCTCTGGCGCTCTCCGCGCCGCCGCCGCGCGCTCCCGGCGCGCGGCCGCGCTCGCTGCGGTCCAATGGAGGCACGGCGCAGTAGGGCTGTGGCAAAGGGTCACGGAGGGCGCTTGGGCAGCCGACGAAACGTGGAGAGGAAGATTCCAGGGCTCGCGGCTGGCGCAGGTCATGTTCGCCCTGGACCTGGAGGGGGCCTTCTCTGAGCTGCCATGTGCGAGCCCCGTCCGCGCGGGCGTCGCCGACGACGCCTACTTGGGCGGCGCGGTGCGCGGCATCGTCGAAGCGTGGCCAGCGCTGGAGGAAGCGCTCGCGGAGCACGGACACCGACTTGCTGCGCGGAAGTCTCATGTCCTGACCCAGGTTTGGGACGCCGCTGAGCTTCGGTGAGAAGTGCGCGTCGACCCGGCCATAGTCGAGTTTTGCGCGCGCGTGCCCAGGTCGACGGGTGGATTGCCCATGCTGGGGTCTGCAGCGCAGGGGAAGTTCGAGGCCGCCCTCGGCCCGCGCGCCGCCGTCGCGGCCCCCGCGAGGAAGCGCGTCGACGCCGCTACCTCGCACCTGGCCTCTCTGCGCGCCATGGCGAGAGCACAAGTGCACAAAACAGCGGACCAGGCCGTCTGGACGATCCTGCAGCAGTCCTGCGCCTGTGCCCGTGGCAACACCAGGAGGCCCACTTGGCTGACGAGCGCGCGCAGGCCCTGAGCTGGTCGGGGTCCGTTTGGACGAACACGCCAATCAGCAGGCCGTCCTGCCCGGCCCACTCGGGGGCCTCTCCCCGCCTTTGCCGTCGAAGTTGCGGGCAGCGGCAGCTTTCCACGCGGCTGAGTCCGCGCACTGCGCGGCAGTGAAACGGCTCGCTGCAGAGCTGGGCAGGCCAACCGAGGGCAGCGCGGAGGATGCAGCAACAGCAGACCTGGCCGCCGAGGAGTTGCGCGACTCCGGAGTCGAGGTCCGGCAGGCAGCCCCCACCTTCACGATGGTCGCCCGGCGCCGTTGCGACGAGGGGCCGTGGGCGCGGGACACGCCGGCCGCCGCAGTTTTTGCGTTCCCGCACCCAGCGGCGCCGAACTCGTCTCTGGACGCGCAGGGCTCCGCCGCGCCGGCCAGGGAGGCTCAACACGATGGTGCATGTCTCCGGGGCCGCCGCCGCGAGCACGGGCGAGCCATGCGGGGAAGCGACGCGTTGTGCGCCACCGCCCTGCACGCTGCCATGCCGTGCCACCGGCAAATCTGCATGTTGTCGTCCGGCGGCGAGGGCAGTGGCGCCTTCTGGAGCGCGGCGCCCGCCTGGCCACCCCCGCGCACGGCCAATGCGCAGTAGGCGATGGCCACCCGCGCCCGGCTGGGCCTCGCAGCGCCGCCCCAGCGGGGCTTCGCGTGCTCGATGCGCAACGCTGAGGAAGAACCTTGTGGGCAACCGCAACCACTGTGGACGAACATCTCCATCATCCCAGCGTCTGCGCAAAGGGCCGCGCGGGCCGCCTGAGGGGGCAAAACGCGATCGCCGCCACGATCCGGCGCCACGCTGCGCGAGCGGGTGCGTTCGTGGACGCCGAGCGGCCCATCCCCGAGCTCGTGCGTCAAGCGGGAGAGCGGCGAGGTCGCGGAGCGCATCACATGGCCCGCACCCAGCCGCCACTTCCTCCTGGACGTCGCCGGACGCCGCCGACCTCTGCGGGCAGCACGAGAGGCCTGGCCTCGCTGCGCGCGAAGGCGAAAAGGATAAGCTCTGGCACTACGGCCCTACCGTGACCCCGTTCGCTGTCGAGATCCTTGGTAGCATGGGCCCAGCTGCCCTGCGCGCCCTCGCGGCGACGCGCCGGGTCAGTTGCGACTGCGGGTAGCTGCGGTTGGGCACGGGCCGGGCCTCGGCGCTCAACCTGCGTGCTGCGCGGGCGGATCCGGAGGCAGCTGTGGTGCAGGGCGCGGCGCAACAGGCGCTTCTCGTGCTCGGGCCCAGCGCTGTTCAGGTCTTGGGCTTGGCCGGCCGGCGTGATCCGCGCCCAGCGGGCGCCGGTGCAGGTGGGGCGGCGGCGCTGGCTGGGCGGCGGCGCAGGCGCGCAAAGCGGCGGCGCCGGTGCCGGCGGGGCGAGCCTAGCTGCTGCCGGCTAGCGGCGCCAGGGCGCGGGGCCTAGCGAGAGGTGGGATGCTGGCGCGCCAGGTTGTGCGAGGGAGGGGGGGGCGGGCGCGCGATCGCGCGGGCGACGGCGTAGAAACAGCAGAAGCAAGACCATCGCATCATGTCGCGTCTACCTCCATGTCATGTCGTAGTGCGATCCTGCTTCTCATCGCATCTGGAGCGGGGTCCCCCTCCGCACCTTCTTTGGTTCTTTCCCTCCTTCGGCGGCCCCCCCCCCAGAGCACGCCCGCTTGGACCCCCCACTTTCCTCCGACGCACCCACCCCGTGCCGCTGGCGAGCCGCCCGCCGATGAGGTCGGATATCGCGCCCCCCTCGCCCTCTGCCCCTTCATCCCCTTCCCCCTCTTCCTCCCCCTCTCCCCCCTCTTCCCCCCCGATTATCCCCCTCTTTCCGTGTCCAGTTTGGCTCAAGTACGAAACCGTGGCCCTGCGGCTTCGTGCTCGCCTGCAGCCGAGGGGCTGGCTCGAGGCGGGCTGCCCACAGCAGGCGACTGTTCTCCCGCACCGCCACGGCAAGCCCCCGCTGCCGTGGCCTGTCTGTTTCCGAGCTGGTCGGGCAATCGACCCATCTTGCGCCGTGGCGTGGAGTTGGAATAAGAAGCCCATTGCATATGTGCCGCCCCAACCCCAGCTGCCCAGGTTGGACCTGGCCAGCCGCCGCAAGCCGTTCTGCGGGCTCTGCGGCACCCCGCAGCCCCCGCAGACAGGTTCAGCGCCATCGCCAGGGACCAGCGGCAAGGGGAAGGGCAAGGGCAAGGGGCATGGGCAAGAAGGTGGAGGAGGAGCGCCAGGAGGAGGTGAATCTGGAGGTGGTTTGAAGCCGCCCCCGTGGCATAAAGACACGATTCCCTTGGCGCCCCCCGAACGCCGACCAGACTTCCCAAGACCTCTTGATGGCGCAGCATCTTGTCAAGTTCTACAAGGGCTGGGGAGTGGAGCGCACCGATCCCAGGTTGGTCTCGGCCCATGAAGCAGGCGAGGCCGCGAAGGAGAAGGTGTTCCAGAGTCGTTCCCCTGCGCAGAAGGTTCAGAGTCTCGCGGCCCAGACTCAGCATCAGAAGTCCCTCATCACCTCTGCTACGGAAGCACTTGCGGAGTTGGAATCTCAGGCAGCGTGCATGGTCAGGAAGTACGAGGAGGCGACGGCGCAGATTTGCGAGTCGAAAGCCCCGCTGGAGTGTCTCAACGCCCAGCTTGCTTACCTGCGTCCAGAGTCATCCTCGTGCGAGCCTCCTGAGTCTGAACCTGAAAGTGTGGTCCACTGGGTCCAGGGTCTGAAGGGGGCCTGACAAAAGAATTTGCTTGTCTCTCTCCTGGGGGAAAAAGCAGTTGGAGGGTGGTTTCTCGGCTTTGGAAGGCACGTTGACTAAGATGAAGGACCAGTTTGATCTTGATGCACAAGCCAGTAAGTTGTTGGAGGGGGCCAATCAGAAGCCCTCGAAAGGCCCGGAGAATATGATTACTCAGAAGAGCCTGCATAATTCCTTGGAGGAGAAGCAGCAGCAGCCAGCTGTAGAGGAGGAGGGGGAGGAGGAGCCGCATGAGGTATCTGATGAAGATATGGAACCTCGAGGTGAGAAGCGCCTTGGTGAGGGCCTCAGCAGCCTCCAGGAGCAAATTGAAGCCCTTCGTCAAGAGTGCCCAGATATTCATGATCAGGCGTGGACCCTCGTGAAGAATAAGTCCGGGAAAGCTGCCAAGAAAGGGGAGGGTGCCCAGCAAAGCTCAGGAGGGCAACATTCCAGGCTGAAGCCTCCAGGAGCTGCGGCGTCGTCCTCAGCAGGACCTCAGGGCAGAGGAAAGGCGGGGAATGGGGAGGCCCCCGGCCACTGCCGCCGCCCCGCCCAGCCGGCTGCAGCCCCAGCATCCAGAGGGGGGGGTGGCAGGTTCAGAGGACGTCGAGTTGTGCCAAACTACGGGCCAAGGGTGGGCCCTGCGAATAACAGCCCTGAACGCGAATTCGCTTGCCACTTTTAAGGCGAATTATGACCATGAGTCGGGCAGTTTTCAATTCCTTGAGGCTTCGATTCTTCTCCTGCAGGAAACCGTGTTAAAGGATGGGGAAGCCATGCAGTCTGCCAAGGAATGGTGTTATGTTCGTGGCTGGCTTGGGTATTTCTTTATGGCTGCAGTGCTAGAATCTGGAGCGGCCTCTGGAGGCGTGGCTATCTTACTAGGGGCTGGGCAGGATCTTGGAGCTAGTCCTGTACCTGTTAGCTTTTCGATGCAGCACCGCATCTGTGCCCTGGAGATTGACATCCCTGGGCTCCCCAAGTTTTGTCTCGTCTCTCTGTGCATGCAGACGATTGTTGGGTGGAATGCTACTAACCTTGAACTCTTAGAAGATATCGCAACTCTTCAGGAGAAGGTTCAGCCCCCTGTCATGATTGCAGGAGGTTGGAACATGAGAGCTAGGAGGCTAGAAACTTTGGAGTTCCTGATTCGAGCTGGAATGGAGGCGATCGCTCCGTCGAAGCACACATGTATCAAGAAGAAGTCTCAGACCACTATTGACTTCTTTGTGCTCTCCCATGTGCTTGCCAGCATTGTCACGCCGACTTTTGTGCTCTCATCGCACCCTGTCTCTCCTCACTGCCCCGTGACGTTGCACATCTGGTCCGATGTCAACCATGCTATCCCTGTCTTGTGTAAGTGCCAGAAGATCCCGCATGTCAAGCCCTTTGGTCCGTCTCTGGAGATTCTTCCTTGGGTCGAGCTGGAGAGTCAAGTATCCAGGCTGGAAGAGTTGTGTGGTGTTTATGCGGGAAGTGGCACACCCAGCATGTCCTGTTTTGAAGCTCGGCAGGCTGCTCTTGATGTTGTGTACCCGGGCGTTGCCATGGAGTTGGAGCGTACCATCAGTAGGATGACGGGCACCCTCTAAAAACTGTTTCGCAGAGGGCCCGCAGTGCTAGGATCCTGCACGTCCCGCTTGTTCAGCACTGCAAGACCCTGAAGTTGGCTTGGAAGTCCTACTTAGTACCCTTGCGGTGGATGGTTAAATGGGCTCAGCATGTCTGTTGTCACTTAAGAAATGAGGCTGCTCTTAGAATGCATCTTGAGAACTTGGAAGGCTGTCCTGCTGAGTACAGGTCGGTCCCCTCGCTCATTTGTCATTTGGACAGGGCCAAGTTGTTGTCCGAGGGTCTTCGACAGGACCTAGATCAGCAGTCTCTGTACGTGTACGTTGCTGGGGGCATACTTGGAGATTTATTGAAGGATCTTGCAAGTGATTTGTAGGCTGAAAGCTCCAGGGACACCCTCGGCTCCATCAAGTCCTGGAAGGAGTGGGTTCGCAGTCAAGGCAGCTCTGTCTCTTGGATGCACAAGTGGACCAAGTGGAAGGATGTGTGGAAGCCTGGGGAGGTGCTGCAGCGCTCGGGCCAGTGGTCTGGGCAGCCTACCAGTATCCTCAGGGCGGAGGCGGATAGGCTGGGGCGCCTCTGGAAGGGGGATGTCTCCCCTCCTGCTCCTTGGCAAGTGAATCATGCAGATAGGAAGCCTGTCCCCCTCGCCACCCCAGGTAAGCTGAGGAAAGTGTGTGCTGCCTTTAGTTCTAGGACGTCCCAGGCGTTTGGCGGCCTCCACCCCCGTCACTATCTGATGTGCTCAGGCCAGCAGTTGGGGATCATCGCCAGGCTTCTTAGATGCATCGAGCAGCGCGGGCAGTTCCCTTCTGTTTGGTTGTAACATGCCTCATTCCTAAGCACAAGCCAGGCGCGGTCAAGTTTCGTGGCATCGGCCTGTGTGTGTCTCTGTATCGTGTGTATGGCAGGCTTCGTCAGAGTGTTGCTCGCTCTTGGAAAAGATCGCATCGGCTTCGTTGCTTATGTCACCAGAAGGGTGTTTCCATCCTTGAGCTCGTGTTCTTGCAAAACTTCAGGGCTGAATCGGCTAGCATGTCTGGGAAGAAGGTTCACACGTCGGCTGTGCTGTATGATATGAGTAGTTTCTACGACCATGTCGATTTAAACCTTCTCTGGGCCAGGGCCGAAGAGACGGGGTTTGACATGCAGGCCCTCGCCGTGATCTGCAACGTGCACCGTGCGAAAAGGTTCTTCCAGATGGAAGGATACGCTCTGGAATATTCTTTCCCGATGCAAGGTATTATGGCTGGTTGCCCGTTTGCTACTTTCCTGGTGCAGGTTTATTCCTATGGGCCAGTCTCAACGCTCCAGCAGGACCTTGGTAGGTCTTATCTGTTCATTTTCATCGGCGACTGGGTGATTCTGAATTAAGATTCGGACCCTGGAACCCTCGTCGCCAGAACAGCCGAGAGCTCGGCCCAGGTAATCCAGTCGATCCAGGCTGACTTGCAGTGTGCAGTTGCTTGTGATAAGTCTGCTGGTGTTGCTTATTTGGACAGTATCAGGCATGCTCTGGCCAGGTCAATGGGGAAGCACATGAAGTCCAAAGAACTCGTCGCTGCTAATCTTGGCGTGGACACCGCGGGAGGCCAGCTCAGGTCTCGGAGAGGTGCCGCCCGTTTCTTGAAGGAGAGAGCCAAGAAGTTGAACCGTCGCAAGCGAAGACTAGCAGCCATAAGGGGGGGGGGGGGGGGGGGGGGGCGCCAACATGCAGAGGGTGTACCTCGCAGGTATCCAACCCTTCGGGCATTGCGGGGCCGAGGTGGTGGGGTTGGACGCAAGGGAAGTTGCAGCAGCGCAGTCTTTCTTCCTGCGTACAGTCGGAAGCACGTGCCCA